CGAGAGGCCGTCCGCAGCTGCCCCGGGCCGCTCCGACGGGGCCGGCCCAGCGCGACAGCGGCGCAGCGGGCGGCGGCGGCGCGTCCAGCCGGTCCTGGCCGAGTGTCGCCAGCGGTAGCAGCGGGAGGAGGAGGAGGAGGAGGCCGAGGCCGTGGGGCCGGCGCGAGAGGCCGTCCGCAGCTGCCCCGGGCCGCTCCATCGCCGCCGAATGCCTACGCCGCCGACACCTGCCGCCCGGCGCGCCCGCCCACCCCCGCCGGCGCCGCGCCACACCCCCGAGCCCAGTCCGGCGCTCCTTGGATACGCGCAGCCGGGCCTCTCCGCCCCCATAGGCCGGCGGCCTGTCCTTCTTCCCCGGCCCGCTCCTCATTGGCTCGCGTCGCCTCGGGCTTCGGGGGTCCTGGATTCGGATGCCAAGATGCGGGACTGATTGGCTGGAACGTGGCAGAGACGGCTGAGGTCATCCCCCGCCTCGCCCGCGTCTCCAGGGCCGAGCTTCCAGAGTTGGTGGGAGCTTTTCTCCCTTCCCGCGAAGCTCCCCGCTCCATGGCGCCCAGACCCCTCGCGGCTCCCACGGGCACCCTCAAGTCGGGGCTAGGTTAGTCTCCCCCAGAAACTCCCCTAACCCCCAAATTCTTCGGGTTGTGGCGGCGCCGGGATAATCTCAGGGAATCCCCGAGCTCGCCCAGCTGGAAAAGGGGGCTTCGTCATGAACCGGTGCTTCGGGTTTTAAGCCCAGCGCGCTGGAGCGCCCATTGTCTACTGAAGCAGCCGCCTTGCTGCCAAAAAGGTGAATGCGAATTGTGTGGGCTAAATCCTCCGAGAAGATAGACATCAGGACATCTGTGACTCATGCAAGCTTGAGAAAAAGTCTCTCCACCACATATGGCCTTGTTCACCTTCCTCTTCTGCAGGGAGTTAGGCCAAAGGTGGGGTTGCTTATTGGTTTTCCTGGAGGTAGAAAGTAGCTTGGACGCTAAGGACAGGTCAAAGCGGGCAAGACGATTGATTGCCCAATGCCTACTTCAGACATGATCGTTTCATAGATACGTATTTACCTCCACCAAAGTGCCTGAACCTTGCATTTGCACAAGTGTGGTTTTCAGTATGAAATCCCCTAAATTGGTATGCCCCCCCCTCCAATTAATAAAACAAAACCTTTATGCTTTTCCCTTTATCTCAGAAACTGCACACATAACTTCTAGAACATGCAGTGCAGGTAAAACCAGTTCTGAATCTTAACTGATCCCATCATTTCTAGTTGTTCAGTAGAAAAGGTAGCAAATAGAAAGATACAAAGTGTGCAAAATGTTACTCCCAAAGAAAGCAACTAAAAAGTACTTTTAACTATAAACTGAAGGTAAACACAAATGAGAATATATTCATTGTAAAGCAAAATGGTGCAGTGCACCTCACCCAATATTTACAATAAAAATTTTTAATTACATTAGTTTGCAAACAAAAAAATTTACAAATTTACATTTTTCCTAGAACAACCACAGTTTAAGACAGGAGAAGTGAAAAATAATTTTGAATGGCATCTGAACAGGATGGGAAAATCACGAGAATAGTCTTCCAAGTTCTCACCTACTGAAATGACAAGATAAAGCTCCATGAAAACTAGTAGACAATTTGTTTCTTTCCATTAACAACCACTGTCAGATTATTTTACATACAGATTATTTTTTAATTTATGCCAACTATGCAGTAGATCACAAGACAGTCAGTTCCAGTAGCATGTGATTAGCTGTGGGGAGAAGAGGAACGATACAGGAATATTTCTTTGTTTGGTGACACAAAGATGAATGGTCTATTGTCTTACTGTCTGAAAAGAAAAAAGCCAACTCAACAGTGCCATCTCCTGGAGAAGCTACTAAATACTTTTTAACTCAGTATTAAATAGTTGGCAATTTATCTGTACTTTTCACTTTTTTTTTTCAATAATTACACATCAATATTTATTAATGGTAACAAATGTACCATACTAATATTAGTTAATAACAGGGGAAACTGGGTCTGGGATATGTAGGAGTTATCTATATC